ACACACACACACACACACACACACACACACACACACACACACACACACACAATCTCTATAATCTGAGATCCTCTGTTTCTCCACAGGTCTCTGCTGGATGTTTTGCTGCAACACAAACATGTTTTATCTCTTGTATTAAGTTGTGTGCAAAGTGTGTGAGTTTTTCCGTCTTAGACTCATTTTGTGAATCTGCTCGCTTGAGTTTGAGTAAACGCTGTCGGTTTGGACCAAACTCTGAGCTGAGACGTTCATCATACAGTCTGACAGACGTCGATCAGAAATCACACAGTTTGCACTCGACTTCATTCTGACACAAGAGCAGATGCTTATTGTTCCTCAGGTTGTTCTGGAGAAGAAGAAAATGTTGAATCTTTATTTCATTGCTCTGATTTTCTCTCTCTGTCTCTGTTTTTCTCCTCCATGCCTAAAATAGAGGTGGAACAGAAAGGTAAAGACGTGTTTCTTTCACCCCGTATAGCGTCTCTGTGTCGGCTTTCTGCCAACATGTTTAACATTTTCTCAAGTAAACCATCCTTTTTTTTTCTTTATTCATGCCTAAAATATTATTTTTAACACTGGCTTTGTGATGTTTAAACACACCGTTCAGTGTTGAGGTCTGTGTGCTTGTTAGTATTATATTTGATCAGAGGAAATGTTATGTATGTGGTGGACATGGTGCTGTGGTGGGGTCATGTTTTCTCTTAGTTTTCAGTTTAATTTCAGTTCGTGTGTTATAATGCTCTTCTCTTGGTGCTGCTCAAAACACAGAAAAAAACCCACTCATGTGACATTTTCATTTTAAAAGCAATTTTATTGGATGAAGATGAATGCAATGTGATATGATTTTCCAGAAGAGAAAACTATATAATTGATATAGTTATAATATAATTATAATTTATATACGATATAATTTAATATGGTTTTATTGTATTTTACTTATTTATTAATTTATAAAAAAATAAATAAACAAATTCATAAATAAATATTGTAACACATATGCATATTATTATTATTATTATTATTATTGTTGTTGTTGTTGTTGTTGTTAAATTATAGATTACCACAAAGCAGAGACGGACTGAAAAGCATTAAACTTCACAAATAAAAGTCTCTCTCTCTCTCTCACACACACACACTCACTCACCCCCACTCTCAACACACACACACTCACCCACCTCCCCCCCTTCCTCACACAGAGGCAGAGTGAGATCAGATGTCTGATAGTTTTTTTAATTTTCTCTTATGCATAGAGCGTTGTAAAGTCGTGAAACTATGCATATTTCCTCAGAATGACTTGTTCTCTGTATGTAAAAAGTTTTGAAGTGTTTGGAAGCTGCACTTTAATAATATAAGACAATTACTGTTTCCTTTTTTACTGTTATTTTAATAAATCACCACGGCAAAACCGTTCAAGCTATCCAAAATCCATCCGCAATATACACACACACACACACACACACACACAAACAAATAAATAAATAACTGAATTTGCTTTTATGGGGTATTTAAGCAATTTAAGGTGCAATGTATTTTATTGCATTTTATAATTGCATTTTAATGCAATTATAATGCATTTTGTATTATATAAGTATACACATTTACATCATTTAAAAATTCAAAGCCACATTTATCAGACACAAAAAAACTTAAGTAGGCAGACAGCGTCAAACGTGAAAACACATGCAACTGAGCTAACACTTGAAATGACAGTAATAGAAAATTAAACAAACTATTGAGAAATGACTTGTTTTTGGAACCATTTGAAAGTGATTTAAATGAACAGTCCAAACGAACCGATTCATAAAAAAAAGAGGTTTGTGTGTTTTGACATGCACAACAAAATACTAATAAACATGCACTGGCTTTTTATACTTTATCAACATAAAAAAGATACAATTCTGTCCATTTAGAAAAACAACAAGAAAAACAACAACAACAAAAAGGTTTTTAATGATCCAGTTTTTCTCTGGTTTTGATGCCAGAACAGCAGTAAAAGTGTTTATAAGCAGAGTGAAATCAAACACTTTGTTGTTTCTGTTCATAAAATCATAATGTAACAAAGTTCGTAGTTCGGGAAGAAGGAGGCAGGAACTGGCGAACATTTAAAGAAAACTTTAATAAAATAAACAAACACAAAATGAAAGTAAAGCGGCAGCCCCTCACGGACGACTGCCGCACACAAAACACAAAATAAAGTCCAGGCCTGGTCCGCTCTCGTCCAACACTGTCGTCACTCCTCCTTTTATCCTTCCGGAGCTCCTCCGTGGGACTCGAGACCGGTGAGTGGCGCAGGTGTCGCGCATTAGCACTTACTCCACTGGCCTCGCTCAGTTCCCACGGCTCTCGGCCCCGCCCCTCTCTTCACACATAAAATAATTTAAAGTTATTAAGCATAATTGCATTAAAATTGCACAACAAACTCACAGATATGCAGCATTGCTGACTATGCGATAATATCAGAGACAAAGACAGTGACGGAAACACATTCATGTAAATGTGATGAATCATGCTGAATTTATTACAAAACCTTTATCATTTTGGTTCAAATGCTGCAGAATTTGCTTCACACGCGCGTCCAGTTCGTCTGTTTGGGACTATAAATATTATGCATCCTTTTTCATCTGCCAGCTAATTAGATCTTCCAGCATCAGTGTATCGGCTAAGTGCTCGCAAATCCCCGTTAGCACTTTAACAGTAATGATATTCATAATCTAATTCCCATTTAAAACATCCAGTGAAGCCCAATCAATAACCCGGCCAATGAGCTGTCAGCATTTTAAATGACATCATTATGATGATAGTGCTGCTAACCTTCAGGGTGACACCATCACACACACACACACACACACACACACACACACACACACACACACACACACACACACACACACACACAGAAACAGACACAGACACACACATTTCTCAAGGCTGAATCTATCAGTGAATACTCACATGTTATTATGTAAATCTCAGGCAGTTTTGCATTTGGTCTGATTCTGTGTTTCTCAACTGCTTTTGCTTCAGGAATCAGATTTTCAAAAGCCAAAATTGTTTATTGTGCAAAACTAAACCAAAATCAAACGTATTAACATCACCATCAACTGCACAGACATAAAACTATTTCCAAACATTAATTTGGCAGGCTGGATGAAAATGTTCTGTTTTCTAACAGTCTCTTGAATTTTGGGGCACACTTATTTTTATTACACATCTTGTCCATATTGGCATCTAATTTGACCAGCTTCTACCAAATAGCAGTTTATTTTGCAACAAAACATGTAAACATGTTACCATAAGTTTGGGGTCAGGAGATTTTTTTTAAATAATAATAATAATAATAATAATAATAATAATAGTTATTTAGCTTTGCATCACAGGAATAGATTAAATTTTAAAATATATTACAATAGTAAACAGCTATTTTAAATGGTAATAATGCAGTAATAATACGTACAGCCTTTGAGATGAACAACAACAAATGGGAAGTGTTTTCTTCTCCCTTTTTAAAGTTGACAGGCCTGTTTATTTGGCTATTTATCATCCTGTCCTGCATGATTATGTGGTTAGCTGCATGTTATTATTTTACGCCTGCGATCAGAGAAGAAACGTGATCCGCTGTTGGATGTGGAGCATCATTGAGAAGCACTGCTGCAGACCAGCTGATCTAAGAGCAGCTGATCTGAGATCAGAGATGAGCATTAAAACACATGCTGTATGTTCAGTCTCATAGACACACTCATCTCATCCCTTCCTGGTGTTTTCCTCTCGCCCTCTTCATCTGGACTGGATCATATTAAAAGCAATAGTTCAGCAAATAATGAAACCTCTCACCATTTACTCCAAACCCTGTGACTTTCTTCTGTGGAACACATTTTGCAGAATATGCACCTTGTGCGTTTCCAAAAAAACCATGCTATGCTCCAAAAACAACATTAAACATCATACAAGTGGTCCATATGTACTGTGCAATAATATATCAAGTGTCAATGGGAGCTTTGCATAAGGGACAGAATGATATTTTCAGATAAAATGTGTTGTTTGAGGAGTAGAGGGAGATTATTTTGCCGATGATTTCAGTAGACATGTATAGTTGTCATATGGACTACTTTTATGGTGTTTTTTGTTGGTTTTGAAGCTTGACAGACAAGGACACAAAGTCGGTCTCAGGCCTCTTCTGCCTCTTTCATTAGATACTCTCTCTGAAGACTGGATGTGTGTGTGTTCAAGCTGTGCTCCGGTCAGCATCATTACAGTGCTCTGATCTTGATTGCAGTGGGGCTTCGCTTTAAACGCCGGTTTAAGACACAGACTGGAGACTGTATATTACTGTAATGACAGTCAGAGAGTCGTGTGTGTGTGAGTGTGAGTGTGAGTGAGTGCGATCACTGAGCTGTTGCCATAGGAATGTTTTCAGAGTTATCATTTGATCAGGTGTGAAAACATACATAATCATCGCTCAGGCATGTCATGTGACGTCACATCTGTGAATGAGCTCGCCATGAATCCGTGTGTGTGTGTATGTGTGTATGTGTGTGAAGCATTAAAACGGCGCTGACGCAGGAGCCGAATGGCCCACTTCATTAACCTTTATACACCTGTGTAAGCGTTGAGCGCCGTATTATTTCTCTCTCAGAGATGCTCAGACTAACTACTGGAGTCACGGAGCCAGAGGAAGCTTTATTTTTCACAAAACCAAGGAATTAAATGAGTTTCTTCAACTATGTCCACTTTTGGCCCTGTGGACTTTTGGGAATTAAACTCCTTTAGAAGAAACTTTCCAAACTCACTGGCTTATTTTCTCTAATAATGTGAAAATAAATGCAACGCTGGAGAAATCTGACATTTTTCCTCTGGACCGTCATGAAGAAATGTAATTTCCTCAACCGCATCCATCACATTAAATGCGTTATGTTATATACTTCTAAATATGTTATATTATATAATTATATACTTCTATACTACAGTACTATTGTTGCATAATTTAGCAAAAATAAATAACTTTAGATAAAGCTTTGTCAGAGAATAAATTATTATAATAATTACAATAAATTATTACATATCTTTACACAAATCATTTTTCACACAATGAGTATTGAAAATTAATTTTACTCTTTTTTATTTTATATGTTATATATTTTAAATATATTCTCGTTCTTTTTGTATAATGTGTTAAAGAAAAGAAAAGAGTAACTTTAGATAAAGCTTTATTAGAGAATACATTTTAATAATTGCAGTCAATTATTATCTCCACACAAATAATTTTTACACAATAAATGTTGAAATATTTTATTTCTGTTCAGTTTATACATTTTACAATATATTATATATATTTTAAATATATTTTCACTCTTCTTGCATAATTTGGTTAAAAAAGAAGTTAAAAAGTAAATCTTTATTAGGAAATAAATTATTATAATAATTACAATAAATTTGTAATTTTCACACAATAAATATTAAAATGGCTGTATGTATTTTCTACATTGTACATTATATCATTTATTTTAAATATATTTTCACACTTGTGTAATTTGGTAAAAACAAAAGTAAGAAATAACTAGATAAAGCTTTTATTAGGGAATACTTTATTTTAATCATTATTAATTATGAATTATCTTCGCAAAAATCATTTCACACAATAAATATTAATGGTTCATTTATAATCTGTTTTGTTTATACATTACATATTATATTAAATATTTTAAATATGTTTATTCTTGCATAATCTGGTTTAAAAAGAGGTAAGAAGAAACTTTAGAGAAAGCTTTAAAAGAGAATAATTTACTATAATAATCAGAAGAAATTATACAATAAATCACACAATAAATAATGAGTTGGTTTATTTTACTCTATTCAGTTTATATGTTATACATTTTAATTATGTTTACACTCTTCTTGCATTATTTGTTAAAACAAACAAACAAGCAAGCAAATAAATAAATAAATAAATAAATAAATAAATAAATAAATAAATAAACTTTAGATAAAGCTTTATTAGGGAATAAACTATTATAATAATTATAATAAAATATTAATAACCTTCACACAAATCATTTTCATGCAATATATAATGAAATGGGTAATTTTATCCTGTTTAGTTTATTCACATGTATTAGTTATTCACACGTTATATTTTTATAATGGATTTTTATAGTTTAGCATCGGAAGCAAAGAGTAAAGCAGTGAAATCTGCATAAAAGCCATTTGTAGTAAAAGTTAAAGCTGAAAGTAAAACATTTTAACAAGACCGTTTTAGAGTGAGTTTTATTGTTTTCATAAAATCAACCGCTGGAACATGAAAGTGGAAGAAACAGCCAGATATGATAAAAGCTTCCAGCTGTAAGAACGGCAGCGTTTCGCTTTCATTTACTGACCGTTCGGAGCGTTTCTGCAATCGTAAACATCACAGATTTAGTCATGCGTTTACAGACACGCGCCGCCGTCTCTGTACATTACACTGTCTGTGGTATCAACAGATTTGACCCTCGCAGGAAATTAATTGGAATGAGTTTATATATTTCTAACCTAATCTGGTTAATTGTATGGATCGCCGCAGTCAGGCTTGGGCTTTAATCGATTTCTCGGAGCGAAAGCCCTGGAAAGAAACACAATCTTTCTGTTCTGATGCTGCGCCGCTGCATAGAGCGAAGCTGAATGGAGCAAAATATGCTTATTATTAGTTTTGTGTGCGCAGACGCAATAAATCACGTTGACACAAATTGACCATATCTTAGCATCGAGATGGAATCAGTTCGGATTGTAATAAATATAAGCTCATTATTATGTCTCCGCGGCCTCTGGCCCCTTTGACCAGCTGTCATTAATAAGCCACCTCTTATTTATCAACATTTTAAATGCCAACTTCAAGTCGAAATGAAATCTTTCTGCATACATCCAATCCGTCTCCTTGAGGGAGAGAGTTCAGATCCATCCTGATACAACAACAGAAGCTTCCAGAAACCCTGAAGACCTTGATTAGCCGCTTCAGGTGTGTTTAATAACTCTGCTGGATAGTTCAGTGTTTCAGGAGTAAAGTTTGGCACTCCTGGAGTAGATGCACATGCTCAGTGTTGCCAATTTAGCTACTTTGTAGCTAGATTTAGCGACTTCCCCGCCCCTTTTGAAACTTTTTTCAAAAGTTTAGGGACAAATATAGCAACTGCTTGGACAAACCTTATCTAAGTTCTCATCTTGCCCACTGATCTACGTTCATCTTTATATAGATCAGTGAATTTGCCATTGTGATGTCATCTAGTGACATTTAGCTACCAGTTTTAGCTACTTTCAATTGAAAGCAGTTGGCAGCACTGCACATGCTTCTAAAGGACTAGTTCATTAGTTAGTTCATAGTTCAGAAAAAAAAAAAAGATTTACTCAGTCATGTTTTTCCAAACCGTTGTAAGTTTCTGACTTCCTGTGGGATACAAAAAAATTAATTCTGAATAAACTGGAAAATAACAGGGGATTGGGGCAAAAATGCAACCAGAATGAACAAAAATGCCACCAGATTCAAGGTAATGATGCACCAATGCAACAATGAATGCAAAAAAAAAAGCATCAACAATGTTGCTGAAAGTTTATTGGAAACCGTCTATAGCAGTGATTTTCAACCAGAGGGCCTCAGGTTGACTTAATTGGTCATAGCTGATGACTGTAAATTAGAAAGTTGTCCGGCTTGATGAGAACAGTATATGTACCAAGTTTGGTGACTGTAGCTAGAACTAACCCCCCAAGTTTTGTCAAAAGGTGGCGCTATAGTGTGCCTCATCCACTGCCCTTTATGAGCTTTTGCCAGTGTCTATCTATCATTAAAGTGTTAAACATAGTACATTATTAAAATAAAAACAATCTAATGTAGATTAAAATGTTAAAAAATAGACACATCTGAAATCTCATGTGAATATTCAAACTTGAACCAGTGACATTTGGTGTCATGGACGTCAAACTTGGTGTGAATGCAAGAGCTTCAGAGAATAATCTTTAATTTCGTATTATTTGCCCACACTTACCTACATATCTTTGCAAAGTATAGAGAATTTCTGCACAAATTCTATGGATTGTTAACCTTAATAATACTTGTATATGAAAAAGAGCAGCATGAACATTCTTCTACATTTCTTCTTTTGTGCTTCACGGAAGAAAAGTGAAGAGTTTGGGATGATGTAATAAATCATGACAGTCTTAACTATTCCTTTGTGTATATATCGACAGTATTGTAATGTGATGAGTGAAATTAAAAGTGAAAGTACAGCATTAAGCAGTAACATCAACATAAAAGGCATTCGTAGCAAGAAATGAAAACTAAAGGTGAAACATTTAACAGGACTGTTTGAGTGTGTTTTTTTAGTTTTGAAGTATGTTACATGAAAATACTGTATCAGTCTTTCAAAATTTAAATGTGTTACTTGCATTTCTTTGTAATTATTTGTGAAATTTATTGACATTTCTGAGTGAAAATGATTTAAAAGTAAATCTTACACCATTTTTTTTCAGTGTATGCATTATATAAATGTTTTATATTTTTGCAAAATCTGAATTTAACTTTAAAAAAGTTACTAATAATAATGTACACATTTAATTAGAATAGCTGCAGTATATGGCTGTTTGTCCTCTTACTATAGTGCTTTCTGGATGCACACTAGTCTAGTTTAACTCAACCGGTAGTTTAACATGTCAGTCAGGCAGCGTCTTCATTTTTAAATGAATGCTTCCTGGCCAGAATGAGCTACAATAGCATAATATGCAGCAGATGTAATGTGTCGCATTGTAAGAGCATCAGTCATTGTCTAGTGAAAGTGATACGGCACAATGTGTCGAGCAGAAATACAAGAGCGGTGACGTTGATGGTATGTAAAAGCATAGTGAATAACATTTCATTCTCCTCCATAATCTGTGTTGATCGCTTTCCTATTATATATACGTGATGGATCACCGAAAGCAGCCCACACTCTAAAAAATGCTGGGTTAAATACAACCCAGCGCTGGGTAAAATATGGACAAATCCAGCGATTGCGTTGTTTTGACCCAGCATTTGCGTTACTACCCAGAAGGTTGGGTTAAACTTTTAACCCAACCGCTGGGTCAAAAGAACCCAATCGCTGGGTTTGTCCATATTTAACCCATCCGCTGGGTCAAAAGAACCCAATCGCTGGGTTTGTCCATATTTAACCCATCCGCTGGGTCAAAAGAACCCAATCGCTGGGTTTGTCCATATTTAACCCATCCGCTGGGTCAAAAGAACCCAATCGCTGGGTTTGTCCATATTTAACCCAACCGCTGGGTCAAAAGAACCCAATCGGTGGGATTGTCCATATTTAACCCAACCGCTGGGTCAAAAAAACCCAATCACTGGGTTTGTCCATATTTTACCCAACGCTGGGTCAAAAGAACCCAATCGCTGGGTTTGTCCATATTTTACCCAACACTGGGTTGTATTCAGTGCTGATCCTAGACTTCTGTGTC